ATGAGATGAGATGAGATGGGATGCCCCGACGGGCACTGCCCTGTGCAGGGCTTGGGAAAAGCTGTGCGCGGGCTCTGGGCGTTTGAGAGTAAAACGAAACCAGATGAGCTCTTCAAAGGCATCTCCTTATCTGCCTCTCTCAGGAATTTTAGATCTGCTTTAAAAATAATAATAATAAATGACCGGGGGAGAAATGCTTCCCAGCAGGAAGGCTGGGAGGGTGGCACGAGTGGAGCCGATGCCCACGGGAAGGGCTCCCCGGGAAACGGCACCGCGATGACTGTTGCTCCTCACATGTTGGGGGAAATGCCATGCCTGGACACTGAAACAAAACTTGTGATATTCCCAGATGAGATTTATTGTGAGAGAGGGAAAAATAATTACCAGCCATTCCAGAACTCATTCATCTCCTCTTCCTCTTTTTCTGTGTTTTAAATCACAGCCAGTATATTTAATTAGTGACAGAAACTGCTGCTGTTTCTGCTGGGGTTTTGGATCCACCAAAAATAGTGGATCGATTCTTTGAAGAGTGTCTCTGTCAGGTCCTGCGGAGCAATGTGTCCGTCCCCAGTGTGTGTACCCGCATCTGCCTGCGCAGGAACAGAATGTTTTTTGCAGCATTTTACTTGGTGGAAGGTGGAGGGAAGAAAAGAGAAGAGCAGAAGATCAGTGACAGTAAAGCCACCTTCAGGACACAGGGCAGAGTGTTAAGAAGTCACCTGCCTGGAGTGATTCCCCCCAGACACGGTCCCCCCTCCTCATTTTTTTTCCATGTCTGCAGCCGGGGTGACTTTCCTGAGTGCTGGACACGCAGCCTGCCTGTCGCCACTGGGATGCTCAACATGCCCTGCTGCAAGGCGACGATCACCCCATTTGCCTGTGTCCCGTGCGCCTCTGTGATGAGAGCTTGGCTTCAGCCTGCTGTTTTTTTTTCTTTTAACTCTTTCTTTTCTCTTTATTTCGTTGCTTTTTTGCTTTATCTCCGCCAGATGCCTCCCTGTCCGCGCTCGAGCAGCGGTACCTCTTCGACATCTCCAGCCTGCCCGAGGCGGAGGAGGTGACGAGCGCGGAGCTGCGGGTCCTGCGCTCCCTCCCCGAGAACAGGAGCTTGGCCCTGTCCCCCGAAGGCACCTTCCACCACCTCCTGCTCTCCACCTGCCCCGGCCGGGACGGCGAGGAGCCCCGGCTGTTGGACTCCCGGGCTGCGGACGCTTTGGACACCGGCTCCTCCACATGGGAGGTGTTTGATGTGTGGGAAGCCCTGCGGGATCGGAAGGAGAAATCGCCCTCAGGAAAGCTGCTGTGCTTCCTGCTGCGGATCGTGTCGGATCAGTCGGGACGGCTCCTACCCCCCCGGCAGCTGGGCTTCAGCAAGCCCCGGCCGCAGCCCCACGAGAGAGCCCTGCTCGTCGCCTTCTCCCGCACGCAGAGGAAGGAGAACCTCTTCAAGGAGATCCGGGATAAGATCAAGGCCCTGGGCAGCCCCCCGCTCCTGGAGCCCCCTGATCCCATCCGGGAGGCGCACTCCAAGCGGAGGAGGAGACGGACCACCATCGCCGCCCGCTCCGGGGGCAAAGGCCATGGGAAGAAGGCGAAGACCCGCTGCAGCAGGAAGCCCCTGCACGTGAATTTCAAGGAGCTGGGCTGGGACGACTGGATAATCGCCCCCCTGGATTACGAGGCGTATCACTGCGAGGGGGTGTGCGACTTCCCCCTGCGCTCCCACCTGGAGCCCACCAACCACGCCATCATCCAGACGCTGATGAACTCCATGGACCCCGAGTCCACCCCGCCGAGCTGCTGCGTGCCCTCCAAGCTCAGCCCCATCAGCATCCTCTACATAGACTCCGGCAACAACGTGGTTTACAAACAGTACGAGGACATGGTTGTGGAGACCTGTGGCTGCAGGTAGCAATTTTGGTGGCTTTCCCTTCCCCTCCCCAAACACTCTCTAACAGCCCAGTCCTATTTTATATATATAAATATATATATATTATATATAGAGAGAGAGCACATTTTGGTGTGTGCCTTTCCAAAAACCCTGTGCTGCTCCCATCTCCATACAGCACCTCCAGCCTTCAAGCAAAAGCAGAGCCAGCAGCAGCATCTGGGCACTGCTAACCCTTCCCACTGGTAGCGAGGACGTAGCTTGTTCCCCTGCCCAGGGTTTTCCCAAAGAAAGAGAGACTCTGGCACCTGCGCCAGGTTTCCCAGGGCTCAGAGCAGGGTCAGGCACCGCGGTGGGGCTGCCTGCCCCATCGCGCTGCCTGGCCCGTTCCCACCATGGGGTAGCCGCTCTGTGTCCCGCCTCAGTCAGACCCTCCTCGTTTCCAGAGCTCAGTTGAGCTCTTCTTTCTCAAAGGTTTGGGGTTAATATTGCAAAGCTGTCTCTACTGTGGGAAAGGTGTAGGGGAAGGAGCAGTGGGTGGGAACTCTCTTTTCTGAGTGTAAAAGGACTGGGGAATTTTCGTGGCTGTCTGCAAACGCCATTTGCTAATGGGGAGGTATCATGCACGGTCAGCTCAGCCTGGGTCAGATCTGCTGTCCAGCCCTGAAAGCGAGAGGTTTCTCTCACTGCAAATCCACAGCTTCCCACCTCTGTTATCCGTCCAGGAGCTGTCACATAACTGGGAGCAAAGCTCATGGCTTCCTGGGAGACCTGGAGGAATGTGGAGTGTAAGGAAACTGCTCCAAGGATTAGGTAAAAAAACCTTCCCCATTCTCCCCGCCGTCAAGCCTGATCTTGCTCCTGGTGATACCCTGAAGGACCAGATCCTGATACTGCGTGTGGCCTGGTGGCAGCTTTCCAGGAAAGGTGCTGAAAAGGGCTGCAGAAACAGTCTGTGGGGTGGGCAGCCTGGCTTGCAGAGCCCCAGCTGGCGGGGCTTAAAGTCATTCCATTGGGGCCTGTTTGCAGCTTGTGGGAGGAAAGTTTTTGAGTCTAGGGGACAGGACAGATGGTCCTATAACTAGGGGCCGAAGCTGAAGTCAGATCAGAGCTCACGCACCTGGAATTGCAGGTAGTGAAGCACGGCAAGGGCTCAGCGGCTTCGCGCAGTCTGAAGCGCAATTGGGCCCAGTGATAGAAAAACATCCGAGAGATGCAGAGCCCCCCGGGGAAGAGGCGTTGAATGTGGTTTCTCATTTTCCCAAATATTCTCTCCATTGAACTGAGCTCCACCCTACCTTCCTCCAGCACCGATGTCAGAGGTGGCCCCGGGGTACCAGTCCCTCTCCCAGCTCCCCGTCCCAGGAGCAGCCAAGATCAGACCTTTCGCTTGCAAAGGGCCGAGCGCCGCTGATGGGGATGAGGGTGAGGGGAAGCAGGGCCATTTTGTGCAACGCTGGAAGGGCTAAGGACTTGTAGTAACTTGGAAGCTCGGCATAAATTGCTTCTTTAAATGATGAGCCGTTTTACCCTGGTGCAAAGGTGGGTTTTGGGAATGAGTGGGGTCCCTGGGCAGCGTTTGGTGCTGACCTTGGGGTTGATAGTGTGGTTTGCGTGGAGCAGAGATTTTGTTTGCACTGGGTGCCGTGTGAGGTGGGATGGGGGCATCCACACGCTCCCAGCCCCCCTCCCCTCTGCAATTAATAATGGTGTGAAGGGGCTCTCGGTGTGAAGGGAGGTACAATTTTATAAAAAAATATATATACACATGTATATATATGTATATATATTTCTTCTTTTCTCTCACCCCTTTTCTTACCCCAAGTGCCTTGTGGTGGAGCTTCAAGAGTGGTTCAGATCTAGGCAAGACACATAGCCCCCAGCAGCTGGTGGACACCAGCGAGCCCACTGGCCAAAGTGGTGGCCCATGACCCATCCCCAGGGCACAGCGGGCCGTGCGGGAGGAGGCCTTGCTGCAGAAGCCCCCGTGGCTGCTGATGGAAGGCAAGGGCAGGCTTTGGGGACAGCATTCCCCGCAGGGCTGCATGTGGCTGGTGGGGACCAGGACACCAGGGCTCCACCGGGCTTCCCTGCTGTCATTTTCCAGCCCGGAACAGGAGGCTAAGCAGAAGCGTGAGGGTTTTTAGGGGCAGCAGAGAGGTTTCAGCAGCAGGGCTTGAGGACGCGTCTGGCTGAGGAGAGCCGCAGCCATGAGCGCTCCCCGCAAGGCCCTGCCAGCCGCTGTGGAGGCGGCTCCTCCAGGGGCGGGCGGACCTGGCTCCGCAGCGGCGCCCGCACTTCCATTAGGGATTAGGCCTGGGCAGCAGAGCCCGCACATGGAGTGTTAGCTGTGATGGGCTCAGAGCCGGCCAAGGGGCACCCGAGCTCCCCAAGCAGAGGCAACTAGCAAGCCGGGCAGCTTTTTTATGGCTCTGTCCGTAGCTCTGCTTGTCCTGCATCTCAGTCACAGCGCAGAGAGGCAGGGAGACTAAATTGCCAGGACCTTCCTGCAGCACCGTCCAAAGCTGCAGGAACAGTCCCCAAAGTGTCCTTCTGACCATCCGCCTCTCGCCTGGGCTGATTCTTGGGCACCTTCAAGCATTATAAATAGGAGACTGGAGGTCAGCAGTGGACAAATGTGAATTCAGTAGATTCAGAATGATTTTAATGGATAATTACAGGTTTTCCATCTGCAGTATTTATACAACCTTTCCAGTAAAAAAAAAAAAAAAAAAAAAGTTTCCATGCAGAGAACGTTCTCCTGGAGGATTTGTTAGACCTTCAGCACCATTTTTATCTGCAGGATATAATTACAGTGCAGCAAGGAGTATGAAGTGTCTGAAAAGGGCTGTGTTTGCGCTGAGCAAGCTCCATCCTCTCTTGCATGGAGGAGGTCCGAGGAGTCGGAGACTTGCAGTGAGTGCCCCCGCTTCGAACAGACTGGGGCTGCCCTTGGGGGTCACGGGCACCCCACGACTATGTGGACACAGGTGCCTTGCCTTACGTTTACAGAGGTCTATAGAACTGAAGCATGTGAAGCGTGTTTCCTGGAGTGCCCAGAGAGGTTGTGGACCCTCCTTCTCTGGAGATCTTCCAAACCTGCCTGGATGCCACCCTATGCCACGTGCTCAGGGGGTTCCTGCTTGAGCAGGGGGTTTGGACTAGATGATCTCTAGAAGTCTCTTCCAACCTTAACCATTTTGTGATTCTGTGATTCTGTCATGGAGCCACCACTTGCGCCATGGCCTGGTGGCCCCTGTCCTGGGGCATCCCACAACAGGGACAGCCGAAAGCAAAATGGGTTTGGACCCAGTTTAACTAGTGTCCATGTTGATTTCTGCCCCTCCTTCTCAAAACCTAGTTCATCAGAAGCAGAGATATCATTTTCTTATTCTTTTTTAATTCTCTTAAAATAGGAGGGTCAAAACTCCCCCTCACCACCAGCTTTTAAGCCAAGACTTCAAATCCAGTGGCAGAAAGGAAATGCTTGTTCCCTGGCACAGAGATTGATGCTCGTGGGGACAAAGGGTCGCTTCAGCCTTGCAACAGGTTCACCCCACGTAGCAGCATCCACCTTCATGGCCTTACTGCCTCTCAGCACTGGTAGATCTACACATGCCATGGTGCCTGGCAGCCTGGAGCACCATGGGGATGCACGTGGCCTCACTTTGTAAGCTCAGATTGACCTGCTTGTTATGTGCATCAGCAGCATCTACAGTTATCCATATCATTGCAAAAAAAATACGCATATGTCAGAAATACCGATCCGCTGACAAGCTAACTAATGTAGCCTCATGTTGGAGTAAACCCCGTGGGAAACGCACTGGCTCCCTGCCAAGCACGTTGACAGCCCTGTAATACTGGGGCCTATTTTGTCTGCCCTGGGGGCAGCATGGCCATGTGTTGAGAAAAAGGACAGTGTGTGGGATGAGCGCGATGGTGATGGTCACACAGCAGTCACCTTGGAGCCTTACTCTAAAGGGGGCCATGCTGTCAAATACACGCTAAACCAGCACTTTGCACTAAGCTGTGCACAGGCTGGATTTGAAAGCCTGCTGGATGCCAAGGACTATCACACAGGCTTTGAATGGCCACCAAATTATGTGCTATCATCTGTACCCTCTGGCATGAGTGTCCCAGTTGCTGTGTGAGTTTCTCCCTCTTCAGTAGCACACCACTCTCTAGCAAGGGGTATGGGCCCCTCCAGCCTTGGTGGGCAAAACTGAGCTTCACACAGTGAGAGTTGTGCTGTTTTTATTTAGTTCTGCAAGATGGAAAAGGTGAAGAGGCCACAAATGTCCCAGGGTTGTCAGGCAGAGCAGCTCCCCAGGGAAGCACTTGCAACATCGTCCCTACTTGCCCATTGGTTCTTGGGCAAACCGAAGCATAGGAGAATTGGGGACTAAATCTCTCATGGATGGGATGTTGCTGGTGGGTGGGAGCCAGTGAGCAAGGGTGGTGGGGGCACATTCTTCTGGCCCTCCTGTCTTTAAATTAATCGTCAGTATTAGGAGAATAGGCTATTTTAGTGAATTGCTGTGTGCGACACTTCAGAATTTGTCATGAGCTCTTGTCTTCCCGACAAACCAGCTGCATTCAGTCTCTTAATGCGCTTTACTCAGCAGAGCGTGTTGCTACGTACACAGAAATGCATGGATATCTCTGATATTCAGTGATGATGTTTCACTAAGTGTCCTGGACCTTACAAAAAAGACCAAAATTTGGAACTTCTACTTGTGTAGAAGGGGTCCAACCCTACATCTCTAAGGATATTTTACAGCCTTGCACCTCAAGACATGTAGATTGAGAGAGAGCTTTTTCCTTTTACTGGCACTGGTATGATAGCAATTCTCCTTAATTTATTGTACTGGAGAGGAGTCTGATTTACCTGGTGGTGGGAAGAAATCATGGTCACACTCGCTGTATGTACTTACATTTAACTTCTGGCTGAGTGGAAAAGATTAGGCGCAGTGTTGGACAGGAGAGCATCTTCGAGTAGATGGTATTGAAAACCTTAAACCAAAGCTTAATCTCAGAAATGGCCTGAAATGAAAACTAGATATTTTCTG